AGAAGATTTGCACTTGAGAAACAGATTGCCTTATAACGCTGTAATCTTTCCCACATGTAGACCTGAAGAGTATCACAAGTGACAGCTGTTTAAATTTCTGGGGGAATTAATGATGCCTAAAGAGGCAAGGCTTAGCTGGGTGGGGAAGGAGAACTTTGTCCAGTACTGATAGCGTATCACCACCCAGGGGAGAGCTGTTTATAATAGCTTGTGAGTGTTTCATTATATGGGTTCACCCCAAAGAATTTTATTATCCCTGCTCTACATTTTTATCTAGCAAATGTCTGAATAGGAAAGTCCTCTTCCATTAGCTTACCAGGGTTACCAAGGTGGGTCACTAATAAAGTACCTCGTGTTCTTTAAGTTCACACTGCCAGGGTTGTAGTCAGGTTGCTCCCTCTTCGAGCGACTCATGTTTTATTTTTTTTGTTCTGTGTAAAGTTTCTAAGACTTGTTGGCACTTAAGAGTTAGCTTATGGAGGATATTCCAGCCTTATCCTGGGAGGAGAGTTGGGGGGAAGGGGCGAGCAGTAATGAAGAGCAGATTTGCCATACAACTCTACTCTTAATAGAGTGCATATGGCAAAAACTGCCATACTCCCATTTCCCTCCACCCTGCGCGGTTCTCCTTTTATTGAATGACTATACCTTTACGACAGGACAAAGAAACTTGGTGTCAGCTGTACAGGCATTCTACATCCCCCGTGAACCACTGGGCAGGAAATGTTCTCATTTCCAAAGGGGCTTTTCAGAGTCTGGTTCTATTTCAAAAACAGCACTGTGAGGAGAATTCCTGCTGGCTTGGTGAATGCGATGAAGTGGGGAGATCACAAAGCCAGGCCGTGGGTAAGGGAATCACGGCTCATGATTGCTGGCTCTTCGGCTGAAGACATCTTTGCCATCTTAACCGGTGTCAGCGTTGGGGTTCCAATTATGAACCACTAAACCCGCCTGGGAAATTGTTTAGCCAAGCACTGGGTTCAAAGAAATATGAGCAGAATGAGTTTGCTTGTGGACAACCTTCCACAGAACTGTGGTGAGAGTTCTGTCACAGGGGTAGCCAGCCCAGAGGTTTGTGGACTACAGCTTCTATAACCTCTGACCACTGGGCATGATGATAGGGGGTGACAAGAACTGAAATCCATGACATCTGGAGCCTTCTACGCTGGCTGCTGCAGTGTAGCAGAGATCTGTGCTCCCATGTGCCAACATTATCCAGGCTGTAGGTGTGATACATTTAGACATGTGCTGAGTTATATGGAGATGGAGCCCATGTCGGTTTGGAAATGTTTGCCATCGCAATGCAAACCCCTCATGGTTGAGACATAAGCAGCTTCACACAGCAAAGAAATGGAAAACTATTTGTGTCCAAGTCCTTAGGACTTGCTTTGTCAATATTCAGGGGTGTAAGCTTGGTTCACTTTCCACATGCAATGCTCTTTGCTGTCAGAAGCAGCCCTCCTGGAAATATTGCTGCAATATACATATTTATTATGTTATTTTTTTAAAAAAAATGGATTACTGCTCTTCAGCGGAAAAGCTCCTAGAACAGCCAACAATATTGCAGTAAAATACAATATTAAAATTAGGCACAGAGCAACCAAACAACAGAAACATTAAAAAAAAAACTTGGTAAATGAATGGAAAGGCAAAAAGGCAACAGTTAAAACCAGCTGATTGACATGCCTAAAGGTCTGAGCAAATAAAATATCAGATCAATAGTCTGTGCTATTGTTTTAAAACAAGTTACAGTAATCTTCCCTAATAGATATGTTTCTAAACTAGTAGTTAAATGGCTTAGGGATTAAAGCATCAAAGTAAGGGGGTCCATCTATAGAGAAAAGAAATGAAAGGTGATGGTTAGGTTATCCTATGGTCAGGTGGCTAGTTCTGCCAAATCTACATGCATCCCCTGTGCTAATATCTCCTAGTCCATTTCTTGTAAGTTCCTTATTGTTGGTTAGCTTTATAGCCTGCTGTGGGATAAAGGGAGCCCTTCTTCCTCTCCATAGCATTTAAAAGAGGATGGGGAATCTCTGGGAAATTTAAGACAGGGCACATGATGGCTGGTTGCTTGGCAGTGCTCTCTTCTTCCAAGCCTGCCATAGTTCCACATGGTTTCAGATTGGTTCTATGGATATTCTTTGCTGTGTAACATCTTCCGCTAGTGTCAATTATTATAGCCACAACAGACCACCTATGCTCTGTTATTCTTGATAATCAAAAGCTATTTCTGGGTTTTCCTCCCTTCCACATCCATCTTTTCAAAAAATGGAACTGTCAGAACTTGGAAGTGTATCTGCATAGCTTTTGTTTTTGTTTTGAGTGGATACAAAGAATGAATAAATCTCTCTTCTTGTGAATACTCATAGCAGATGCTTCAGAATGCAACATTTGTACAGAATGATATGTGCCAATAGGGCAAACACTTGCATGCACTTCTTCAGCTGCTGCTTCAGTCTTTTTGTCTTTTTTCTTTTTTGTCTCAAATACTGGAAGTTGGGCAAATGTTCTGCCAATACGAATCAAGCTACTATATAAGGCAATGAACTCTATTTGCCCAATATTTGGGTTTTTTCACTATTTGTAATCCATCTTGCTTTATCCGTTACATGGGTAAAATTTTGAAGAAAGTTTTGTCTAAACAAAAGAGATACATTTGGCATTCAAGATCACCACTGTGGTTGCAGCAAGTATTAACCTGATTCTGCAGTGATGAATACAACAGTCTATGGGAAAACATAGATGAAAGACAGCATTCCTATTAGGTAACATAACTTGTCATGTTATTTGCACCAACCTGCTAATCTAGATTCAATTACATGCTCTCAAATAATGAACACACTCACTTAAGACTATAAGTGACTATGTGATTATAAGACTATAAGACTCTGCCAGCAGAGAGGGAGGCCTGAAGAATCTAAGGACCCTCAGCCATCCTCCCACGTAAAATAAGGTTGCCCTCTAACTTGTACATTCCCCACCTCCATGCCAAAAAAGCCAATATTTAGTCACTCCTCTGGCTCTCTGATCTTTCACCTCCATGACCATTCCTCCACAAAGGAACAAGAAATCAACACTGGAATTCTTAACAGCTGGAAAGATCTCATAATCTGACATCTTTACCACAAAACTGTCTATTCTGTCTGCTGTTTAGCATATAGTTTTAAATAGGTACTCTTTAGCAATAATAAAATGATTTAATAAATATTAATAACGGATACTTTATCATGATTTTTCTTTTGTGTCTAGTTGGAGATGTTAGATGTAAATGGCTCAATTTCCATGGTTATTTCTATTCTGTGGAGGCACTGTCAGATAACACAAAGTCAACATTTATAACATGATCTTGCAGCTGCAGAAATAATGGACTCGGAAGAACTTATGCCATAATAAATGTGTTAGTATTTAAGGTCCTACAATAATTTTTGGCTGCAACCATTTGGAAACTGGTATTGGTATTTAATCTTCCTCCCCACGACCATCATCTTGAAATTTGCTCATGTCACTGCTATCTGCATCAATTTCAAAGAGAATCCCTTTTGTTCTATTCAGTTTGCCATACATTTTGGGATGGAGGAAGATCAGATACATAAACGTGTGTGTGTGTGTGTGTGTGTGTGTTGCAGTTATATGCACATGTACACCTGTGGAAAAATAACAGCAGAACTTTTACCCCCACCCCCCACATACTTATCCCTCATCTGTTCTTGCCTTCTTAGGCAAATCTAGAATTATTTTCCCCATCAGAAGGTATAAAACCCTTTCCCTTTGTTGCAGTAGAAGATTAGGTGTCCTCCATGCAATCAAAGCCGCTGTGCCTCATACCTAATGAGACTTATTGGGAGCAAGTTGAGGCCATGTTAGTCATGATTAAGTACATAGCATGTCCTAATCCCTTTTGGTTTGTGTTTATTCACGCTTTGCTCTTGGATTAACAGTGCTAGTCCATGCAAAGAGAGACAAAGATTCCCAATGGATAAAAGAACTTTCTGTCCCTGGGATCAAGTTTGGAGATGCTGTTGGGGAACCCTGAGAAAGACTGATCGAGCTTATGAATGAAACATGTGTACAGTGGTACCTTGGGTTACATACACTTAAGGTTACATACACTTCAGGTTACAGACTCCGCTAACGCAGAAATAGCACCTCGGGTTAAGAACTTTGCTTCAGGATGAGAACAGAAATCATGCTCTGGTGGCGCGGCAGCAGCGGGAGGCCCCATTAGCTAAAGTGGTGCTTCAGGTTAAGAACAGTTTCAGGTTAAGAACGGACCTCTGGAATGAATTAAGTACATAACCAGAGGTACCACTGTATATAAAAGGCAAAGGAACTGGATTAAGGCAAAGTACTATTCGTGTCTAAAAGAGAGGGGGTGGTGGCCTGAAACTGGAACTCTGAACTCCAGCTGGGCAAAACTGTCTTGAAAGTGCTGAACAACTACAGCAATATCAGATTCTCAGTAGACCTGACTTAACCCTAATGGCAGGACTTATACCACTTGTGAGTGGTCAAGGTAAATGAAGCCCCGCGCCCCTCCCACCTTATGCTTGAAAATCACCCTGGTTTTGCATTCTCAACATAGGCAACCAATATATGTGATCCATCAAGGCCTGGATGGCCTGCACTGGACAAGACTAGGTTATCTGAGCACTTCCCAGCCTGCTCCTATTTCTCCACACTGCTCCACTGCCACTTTCAGCCTCCATCCGCTTTGCCTTCGACAGGGTTATGAAACCTGGTAATGCTACTCACTATCCCATCAAGCCTCATGTTGAAAAGCTAGCAGCAAATGACAGAAGGGCAAGGACTGAGAAGCAAAGGTTAGGGAAGAGAATGCAAGCTATGCCTAAAATTTCCCACCAGGTTCCCCCTTTCCTTATTAAGTTGCTTCAAAGGCTGCTTTTATTCTCCAGATCAATCTGACTGATAAAGGAGCTTTTATAAAAAATAAAATAAAAAAAGAATTCTCACCTGATGAAGAAAGAGGATCTACTTACTTTGAGAGGCTCTTTTGTTCAAGGAGGACAGACTTTTTCTCTCTTCCCTCCCCATGTTTCCTCGTTTCTTTAACAAACTGTAACCTTGAAAGAACTGAAGGGTATACTTTAGCTTTGTCATGGATCCTCAAGACTGGGGATTGAGGGGGGATGACGGGAGGAAAGCAGAGGAGGCCATAAACAAGAGTGAATGTGTTGACATCCTTCCTCTGCTTCTCCCGGGGAAGTGATCTTGCCAGTGATGGATCCAGTCTGACTTACTGCCACAGAAGGAGAAAGAGAAGTGTGAATGGAAGGAAAATATTAAAAGGGGGAGAGGGAAGTATAATGAAGCTCATATAGGAGTAGAAGTGTCATTAAATGGTACACAGAGATGATTACAGTCATGATCTGTGTGTTAGTGTGGCTTCGGACAGGGGGCTTAATACTGCAAATGGATCATTCAGATATTGCAATACATGCTGTTGGCAACAGGTGCTGTTGGATTTTTTAAAAACCCAAAAAATGGGTAGGACTTTCCAGGGAAATGGTAAATCCTGATTAAATGGGGAAGGGGAATGAGAGAGTCTGAATTAATTTTAAGATGTATTTTAATTAAGTGATGTCTGTTTTTATGCATTTTGTGTTGTTTTTATGATGTTAGCTGCTCTGAGCCCAGCCTTGGCCAGGGAGGGCGGGATACAAATATGATGATGATGATGATGTCAATTATGTAGCATGGATATCTAGGGGGAGACCATATATTAGCAGCACCATCCCCACAGTAAACAGCATTCTGGAGACAGGCTTAGAGAATAAACTGGGTATCTGTACTTTAATCAAAGCCAAGGAGAAGGCATCCTGGGGTTACTCTTTCCATGGGACTTTTTTTTTCAAATTAGGAAGCACAGGCAGCCAGGGAGGCTGCAAAATGCTAGGAGAACATTTTCTGGAAAGAAACAGAGGCACATCACCCTTGGTCACCTCACAAGGATATGATAAGCGCCACACCAACTGACATTCTCGGGGAAAAATTTCAAGAGCCCTCACAGAGGGAGGAAGTGTTCAAGAAACAGAAAGACAGATTTCTGCACAGCACAAATACTTGTGAATGCAATTCATTGCAACCAGTTCCAAACAAATGAATAGTCCTGCTTAAGTTTAGCATCAGTTTCCATAGGAAATTAAGGGTGTGTTTAGCTGTCGCCAGCTGAAATAAATAAGGCTTTAAAGTCCTTAACTCTGCCTCCATCACACCCCAAGTGTGTGTGTGTAAGGGGAGGGATAGTTGCCTTCTAAGTGTTGTGTTTTGACTTTCCACAAGGAACAAGTGTACGGCACTGCAAAGTCATCAGTGCTGAATCACGAAAACGTCCTTTGGCTCAGCAGCTGCCTGTTTACAGGAGGAGAGTTTACTTTCAGCACTTTCAACTTGGAGTGCTATTTGGAAACATTTAGCTCATAAAAAGGCTTACAGTTCATGCATTGACCTTGTCGTGACCTGAACATTTTGTTAACAAAGTGCTCTGCTAATGTTTTGACCAAAAGAATGAATGTGCTTCAGGTTGGTTGCTTTGCCAAAGTGGTGCTTGCTCCTTAAAAAGGGAAAGTTTTAAAATGCCATTTTCAGAAAGAGAGTCTCACTCCTAACTATATATGGAAATGTCACCAATCAGTGTTGGGGAAATTGTGTGTGTTTGGGTGTGGGTGTGTTTGTGCATGCACATGCATGTTGAGGTTGCAGCAGAGAAGTATGTCTTTATTTCCTTTTTTGTTTCCTGTGTTTCCTAACAATAGCTCACAATGGAAATCTTTGGCTGCATCTAATTTCGCATCATCAATCCTCAATAGATCTGAATGCAAAATGACATTTATTACCGGCAGTGTAAGATCCTTTTCTTTCACGGAGAAGATAATAAAAGTGTGCAGCACCATGCCTCACAGATGTGGGAAAAGTTATACGTGCCTGACCCCCGCAATAAAAACCCCTGCTAGTCCAAAAGTGAAAGTTAATTTGCAACACATACCTAAAATATGTTTCATATGGTAATAAAAAAAAAGTTCTAACCCAGATAGGACATACACACCCACCATCCCAAAGGGAAAATGGCAATGGAGCTGTATTTCTTATTCTTCTTTCAATTTTTAACATAGCCTTTTCAGTTCTTTGCTGAAACCACACGATATACTTCAGTGCAAATACTCCACAAATACTTAAAGTGTACTAAAAGTTAATTCATGCTTAGTTCTCTGTGTGCCGTCTGCCTTCACACAACTCCTAGTATACATGGCAAGGTGCAACTCAGTGCACATAGTAGCTTGGGTGGTTAAAACAGAGACCAAAAGTGGCCAAATGTATGCAAACACCTTTCCGCTATTATAGAGGGTTAGACAAATGACAGAAATGAAGTGAAATGATCTCTTCCAAGAATCTTTTTTATCCACAGCAAACTTTAAACTATTATTTTCCATCTGGAAAAGGAATACTTAGCAAGAACTATTGTAGCTTTTATTGTCTAGACAAAACACACTATCTCCCTCAAGTGGTCAGTGACGTTAGTTTTCTATTTCTAGACTGTACTTGCTATTATTAGAATAAGGGCAATATTGCACATAAAAAAACATTTTATACATAAAAAAGGGCTTCACATTCAAACAGCTCCCTAACGAAATGAATCATGAACTAGATGAAAAGAAATAACACTAAAGAAAATATACAAATGTGGTTGAAGGTCTGTGTTAGTGGAAGAAATGATGGCTTAAACAACCACGTACTTGTAAGCTGCTTCAGAAATGGTTCCATAGAAAATAATAGACCAGTGAATACTCTGAAACTCTCAAAGATCATTCAGTTCAAGGGTGGGGGAGCTTATGACCCTCTGGATGGTGCTGGATGGACTACAACTCCCATCACTGCTGACCATTGAATATGCTGGCTGGGACTGAAGGGAGCTGGAGTCCAGAAACACAGGCTAGTCAACTCCACACTAAACTCTGCATTATAACACAGCAGCTGTCCTTACGTGCCTCAGGTTTCTCTGTAGATGACTTTGGATATTTAATCTACAGAAATCACTGTTTCTGTCTATTATTAAGGTGAAGTACTTTGAAATATATATTTAAGCCCTCTGGGCAAATCATTTCAGTGGTCTGTACAGAAGTACACAGTACATTAGTAGGATTAGATATTAGTGGGCCAAACCAGCTGGACAGAAGTAAGGGTGGAACAGTGCTTTTGTGTTCTTCCATCCTCTTCTAGGTTTATTTTTTTAAAAAAATTCTTAAACTGTCTTCCTCCCTGGGATACCCTCCCATGGACCACAGTATTGCAGAACTAATACAACTGCCACCATGACGTGATTTGACAAATATCAAGAGATCCCAAACTTGGCTAGTATACTCTAACCTATCGATTTTCAATGGGGAGGTTACCAATTTTTCGATAGAACCCACCGTGAACGCCTCCCTTGTTCTCTTGTAACAGCAATGGCGCCCACCTGAGAGGTGCCAGAACTGAGTTCCTGTTAGTTCCTACTGAGAAAAGCCCTGTACCAATTTGAGAAGTGAAGTTACAGGGAACCAGGCAGAGGGCCTTCTCAGTAGCGCTGCCCATCCTGCGGAATGCCCCCCCATCAAATGTTAAACAACTGTATGACTTTCAGAAGACATCTGAAGGCAGCCCTGTACAGGGAATTTTTTAATGTTTGGGGTTTTAGTGTGCTTTTAATACTTTGTTGCAAACCACCCAGAGTGGCTGGGACAACCTAGCCAGATGGGTGGCAGATAAATAACAAAATTATTGCTGTTGCTGTTGATGAGGATGATGATAATGATGATGATGCCATTGTCTCTTTTTAGCATCTTCAATGACCTCCCTGGACCAGGTCCCAATGCTGATACAATATCATTGCCACCACCATATCCTACAGAAGTTTTCCCTGCCAGAGGCAGTAGCAGTAGTAGTGGTTGGTCCTTGTTAAATGAAAGCCTATCCTTTTTCATCCTAAGGGCAATTTTCTTTCAGACAATAACTTTAAAAGTAACCTTTTTATTTCTACTCAGACTAGAAAATGTGCTGATGGCTATGAGTCAATGTAACATTTTCTTTTTCTTGTGACCTGGAATACAAATGAAAATCTAGATTCCTCTGTAAGAATGGCTATGCCAAGTTAAACCTGACATTTAAAAATGAAATTGCTGTGCATAAAGTGTTGGAACCTGAGGTTCCTCTTTTATACCATCATTTCGTCTTTTTAAAATCTTGCTACTGCCTGGCAACTGAGAACAGTGTGAGCTCACATGTATTATTATTATTTTTTCCTTGTACACTGAAAACCAGCATGCAGTCCAGGAGAATTCTTCTGCCTGAAATTCTGTTCCCAAGAGGATGGCACAATGTGATTTTTCCAACCTCGTAGTTTGGTGATAATGTGAAGCAGTGCAATCTTATGTGCATGTTTATTCCAAGTGTGTTCAGTGAGGCTTCTTACTTTTAAAGGGAAGCAGGCACACTTGACACTTCTCAGAAACAGCATAGCAGAAGCATCAGTGGTTAACTTCATATCCACTTCATATCCACTCTCTAAGGACAGTTTGCCAAAGCACTTTGTACTATGTCATTTGGAATGTGTGCCTCTTCTCCTCGTGGATTATCATAATGGAAGGTATTTATTTATTAAACACTGGACTGAGATCACCAAATTCTTTTCACATGATATGCCAAGGAATAGGCATCAGGTACTAATAACATTTGCTCACCACTAACCAGGATTACAGTATGACAAGGGATTTCAAAAATCCCTAAACTTTTTTCAACCACATATTTCCAGTTAGACGCATCCTTCAGCCATTCCCTTGTAAATTTTTCCTAGTATCATTTAATCTTTTAATGCCAGAAGAATTTTTTACCAATGTATCATTTAAATAGGTCTGGCCACAATTATGATATGTGCCTTGCAAATCTGACAGGCAATGCATGTTTTCTGCTTTCCATCTCGCTGACCTAGGGCTCCTGAGCGTTTTCAGAAATATATTTTGAAAATGTGTTGTCTGCATGTCAGTTTGCTTTACAGTACATCACACTGGTCACCGGGTGCCCAAAGAGTCTGATCCTATTCACATTAAAATAATCAATGGTGGTTCTGCGAGACTTTATGAGGGCATTAGTGAAGACTTCTTCAGGAAGTTGGAGATTAGTGGGAACTTTTTCAGCATTGTGGCAAAGAGG